GAAGTGAGTCTGTATATGATACAGGTGCACCTACAACAAGGAAGGAATCTTCAATTCATACAGAAGTATCTACATGGAAAGGGAATATATCATCAACTAAAGATAAAGATTCTGTTGTAAACATAAAAACATCAGTGAAAGGAATGGAAACTTCACTTCTTGTTACAGAAATGCATAGAGAGAAAAAACTGCTGAATGATGGTTTAAAAGTTTTAACAGAAGAAAAGGAAACGCCAGTTATTGGAATAGAATCACTTCCAATAGGTGAAGGGACTTCAGTTATGGACAAAGTACCAATGAAAGAAAAAGATACATCATTAGCTATACTGAAAGAAAATTCAGCTGTTGACATTCAGGTGTCAGGAAAAGAAACTGAAATGTCAGTCATACAGACACAAATAAAAGTAAAAGCACATTCAGCTGTTGACACTGAAGTATTAGTAAAACAGAAAGAAGCCATTCTTAAAAAACACTTGTCAGCAAAAGAAGCATCAATCACTGGTATTCAAGCATCAGAGCTTGAAAAGGAAACTTCAGTTGTGTCACAGGCACAGAAAGAATCTTTAGTTTCTGACATTCAAGGAACTTTAACTGTTAGTAAACAGGTACCAGATAAGGTTGAGCACCATGCAGCTCTTAGTGTTCCTTCAAAAGAACAAACTATTCCTTTTGAAATACAAGTTTTGCCAAAGGAAAAAGAAATTTGTGTTACTAATACACAAGTATCAGCAGAGAAAGAAAATACTTCATTAATTAGTCCAGATGTAACAGACAGAGATAATGATAGTTCAGGCTTACAAGAATCAAAAGAAACGAAAGAAACTTATTCACCTGCTACCATACAACTACCAGTGTTAAAAAAGGAAACCTGTACTTCTGGCGCACACACACAGAAAAATGAACTTTCAGTCAGTAGTGTAAGAACACCAGACAAAGACGATGCTAATGTTATGGAGGCTCTGGAGGTAAATGAAGGTGTATCTGGTGTGATATCACCAAGAAACAAGGATAAAGAAATTATCAGGAAAAGATTTGTAGAAGTAATAGCTAAACAAAAGACACCTACAGATTATCTTTAAAAATGCAGACTGTTATGGATAAAGAATTTCCTGTCTTTGCTGAAAATTTAGCAGCTGCGATGAAGGAGACAATCAAAAAAGCAATTTCAAAGATGCCAGATAAGTCTGACTTGGAAGCAGTTGTCCCTAAACAATCTTTGACAGCAAGTGATACCTCTCCATCAGAAGCAAAATTGGTGTCGGTGCAGGAAGCTGCCTTATCAACAGTGACATTATCATCTAAATCAAATGAACAAACAGCAGATATAACTGCTGTTGAAGGATTGATAGAAATAATAAAGGATTGTGCTAATGAAGAAAACCTTGTATCTGTTATCAGGAAACCTTCCATTTCTGCAAATTTGCCAGTAAAAACTGAGGATTTGTCACACAGAACAGGTACATCAGTTGCAATAGACGTGAACCTAGAAGAAATTTCAATGTCTGCAAAGGAGGCACTGCCAAAAACAGAATATGCAGCTACAATGGGAATTAAAGAAACATCACCAACTAAACAAACCATTTTTAAAGAGGACAGCATCCTTACTGAACAGATGGTTTTGTCAGAAGACGTAGATAAGAAAGAAGAGAAACAGACAAGAGAAAACCTTGCAATTGAAATTGCTACAGGTTCACCAAAGAAAAAAACACAGAAATTGACTAGAACTTCTTGTTCAAGTTCTCCTGACCAGCTGAAGTTGTCTGTGTTACCTCCAACAAAACGAAGAATTAAACTGGTCCGACCAGTCTTATCAGGGTCAAAGGAAAGTAATACATCTGAGCATTCATCATCAATGCTTAGAGAAGTAACAAAATTAGAACCCTCAAATTCTACATTGTTCAAAGATCCTACTGTGGAGGTAGCTTTGAGTCCATCCCAAGAGGAATGTAAAGAAACTACATTTTCAAAACTCTATAAAGAAATTAAAATACCAGGTTCCATAACATTTCAGATAGATGATGACATTTGTCATAATATGTCATCAAAAGAAGGTATTAAGATTACTGCAGAGAAACTTAAAGAAGATCTTCCATGTAAAGTTGCATCAAAAGAATGTGATCAATCAGAATTCCCAGCTCATACTGAACCAGGAGAAGTTCCAAGAAAAACCCTGGTAAAGAAAGTAGACAAGGCAGAAATTTTGTGTACATCTAAGAAAGCTGTAGGTCCAAAAACTACAGCTTTGGTAAAAGATATTAAAACAGCAGAATTTTCAATGTCAACTCTTCCAGGAGAAATTAAACAGCTAGAGCTTCCAAATACAGATAGTTTAAGTAGAACTCTGTCAGAAAGTGGACAACACAGACTTCCAACTATAACTCAATCTACAGGAATGAAGGAATCAGATCATCCTATGTCAGTCCTACTTAAAGATGTTGGAGACCCAGAATTTCTAAATGCAGCACTGACAGAACAGACTGAAGAGCTTGGACATTCAAGTAAAACAGCATCATCTAAGGACATTCCAAGTTTAGTAGCTCATGGAGGACAATCAAGTTCATTTCCATTGAAAGAAAAAGTTCCATTAACACCCAAAGACATTCAGAAGTCAGCAGATTCACAGCAGGCATCAAAAGAAGTTACAAGGTCAGCACCAACAAATGTTAAGCATGTGGAGATACCACAGTTATCACTTTCAGCTACTTTCACATCAAATGAACTTAAAGATTCATTAGTGCAAAGTATGACTACACCAGAACAGGATAAAAACCTTGAACAACCTGGATTGTTACTTCAAAAAGACAGTGCTCTGCCAGAGGAAAATTACAAGATTACCAAATTACAAGATGTTACAGATAAACATACAGCTAGTGAGTGTGCTAAGAAACCAAAATTGATACGACCCATGAAAAGTTCTATTAAAGATGTGGCAGATATAAAAACAGTTTCTGGATCTGGCAGAAATGAAACAAAGTTACTAAAAAAAGAAAACATTTTGAAAGAAGTCTTGCAGGAGGTTGTAATTAAGCAACAAAATGAAGAAAGTCAAATGTCTGTAGTTCAAAGTTCAGAGTTACGCACTAAGGAGAAAGGTCATGAGAAACCATTGTCCAGCATCACAACTAAAACAGTAGCTAAACCAAATGACAGAAGTCCACTTTTCAGTACCACTAAAATTAAAGACCAAGAGAGCAAAATACAGACATCAAATGTTCCAGAAGTTGTTCCAGAAATAGTTGACCGAACAAGTAGAAGTAATATGGGAAAGTGTCATTTAAATGTTCTCAAAAAAGAGATAACTCAGAAAGCTTCCACAGAAACAAGGTTAGAAACATCTGAAATAGCCACTCCACATTCAGCAGATACAGAAATTTACAAGGGAGAATCAGTTATTTCTACAGTGCAATGTAAAGAGACCAAGGATATATTTTACAGAGATTTAATTAAAGCAGACGTTTCAAGTTCTTCAGGCAAACAAAAGGCAGAAAGAACAGACAAAATACATGTAGACACAGTTTCTGAGGAATTAATATCTGAAAAAATATCTTTGATTGATAAACATCCACAACACTCACAGACAAAACCAATAGCACTTAGTACAGCTGAATTAAAATCTAACATATTGGAATCTAAACCATCAGATGACAAAAACTTTCCAGTACAGCCTCAATTAAAATTACGAACTAAGAAGATAAACCCTGAAAATATTTCATTTTCAGCCAGCAGAGAAAAAGTAATTGCAGAGGCATATTCATCAAATGAAAATGTGTTATCTGTCCAATCAGAAATATCATCAGTAATTTTAAAACCTGAAAGTTTAACAAATACAGCTAAATTAACACTGACACTAGATACTCTGGCTCCGAAACAAGGTGACAAGATGTTGAAAAATTTATTTGATGTGAAAATGGTTAAGCATGTTAATTTAGAAGAGAAAGCAGAGCCAAAGCTTGTTCAAGGTAAGCTCCATTTGGAAGGGTCAAAGAAAGAAGACAAACTTTATCAAGAAGTTCAGCTGCAAGAATTTTCAACTGAGAGGAAATCTGAAATTCCTGTTGATACGTCATCTAAAAGTGGCGCACAAAAAACTTTGGACATGAGAGAATCAAAATCAGAAAAAAATATACAAGACAAAATTATTCTAAAGATTACTAAAGACATGACAGCATCCAGAGAATCTTCAGGTTCAGTTGTGAAGCAAGGGGAACCAGAATCAAAGTTGAATTTTGAAAATATTTCAAAACAGACTACAGCAACCACACACCCAGTTTGTAAACCAAAATCTTCTGTAGAATCCAAAGTGCTATCACCAGACGCAATAGTAATGCCTGAAGAACATGTAAAGGTGGATAAATTAACATTGAAGCTCAACAAAGAAGTTGGTTCAGATTCATTTATAAAAGATGGAACAAGTTCAAAATCATCTTGGACTTCAACAGTTTCATCAGATGTTGAACAGTCTGTAAACACCATCTCGCCAAAACATGAAAATATAAACATTAAATTAAAAAAGGATTATTCTTCTTTCTCATTTAAAACTGCCTCTCCTGCAGTAATTGCTGAACCATCACACAAATCAGAAAATGCTGGTGAAAGAGCCAAAGTAGAAAAATTGACATTAAAATTAAAGAAAGACATATCAAAAACTGATGATATCCAAAAAGAATGTATAGAAGAACCAAAGTTGGAGAAAATTACTTTAAAATTTAAGAAAGACCCAGCTCATCCTGATATTATAGTTGCAACCACTTCCATGGTGACATCATATCCAGGAGAAGTGATCACAACAAAATCACCTGGAGTCAAGCAGGTAGAAAGTGTAGCTTCATGTACATCACAGGGTGAAAGCAAGCCTCAAAAGATCACTTTGAAGTTGAAGAAAGATGGAGTGAAGCAAGAAGCAATTGCTGTAACATCCAAAGATACTACATGTCTAGACACCTCTGTTACTCCAGTCCAGTCGATGGAAATTAAATTACCGGAAACCCTAGGCTCACTGCTTAAAGAAGAAGTACCATCAGATAAGATAGTTCTAAAATTAAAGAAAGATGGATCCAGATCAGAAGCATTTGTTTCACCATCCAAAGATAACATCAACCAAGAAACAGTTATTACTCCAATCAAGCTGAAAGATGGAAAAATCCAAGAGACACCTATTTTGCCTGTTTTGAAAGATAAGCCTGCAATAGAAAAACTTACATTAAAACTAAAGAGAGATGGCACTACAACTACAACATCAAAGGAAGATATTTGCCCTGAAACTACAATAACTAGAATCAAGGCATCAGAAGTTAAACAGCCAAAACCGGAAGTAAATGTTTCACTGACACCTAAAGATGATCCTCTAGTGGAAAAAATAACTTTGAAATTAAAGAAGGAAGGAACCAAACCTGAAATGACTGCTACATCATCTAAGATAATGTCAAGTCATGATACTACAATTATGCCGACCAGGATCACTGATATTAAACACAAGCAGTCAGAAGCAAATGTTGCATCACTAACTAAAGAATTGGTAGAGAAAATAACACTGAAGCTAAAAAAGGATCCTATAAAGCAAGAAGTAACTCCAGCAGCTGTAAAACAGGGACAGACCAAGACAACAAAAGGATGCACTCCACTTCATCATGAAGAACCCAAACTTGAAAAGTTAACATTAAAACTGAAAAAGGATACTATGACATCTTCTGTGGTGTCTGAAAGAGAAGCAGAATCATCCAAACAACCTGATATAGTAATTAAATCAGACTCAGCCCCTAAAGAAAAGAACAAAGTTGAAAAACTTACTTTAAAGTTTAAAAAAGATTCAGCAGCTTCAGAAATAATTACTGAGAAGAAAGTAGCAGATCAAGGACCTAGTTCATTAGATATTCAAAACCCAGAACAATCAAATATAGTTTCATCAAAAGAAGAAGGTAAAGTAGAAAAACTAACCCTAAAACTTAGAAAACCAGAACGTCCTGAAGGAGATTCAGAAGTAACTAGTACACAGACAGAAGAAGAGAAAAGTGTAGATTCAGGAACTAATTCAGTTGCAAAAGAAGGAAAGGTGGAAAAAATTACTTTAAAACTTAGAAGGGATTCAACAAAATCTGAGGAGCCAGTTTTTGCAGAAGCTGTTGGTGCATCAGCAAATCAGCTTTCAGGTAATCAGGAAACTAAGTTATCTGAGGTAATGTCTTCTGAAATAGGAAAAACAAAGAAAATAACACTGACTCTTAAAAAAGAGGCTGCCTGGTCTGTGAAGAGGAAGAAAATTAAATCGGTGCGCTTTAGTGACAGTTCTAAGCAAACATCTAGTGATGAAATGAAGAGACTTAATACTGAAGAAGAATACCTTGTTGAAATTCCTCCAAAACGAGTGAAGACTGAAGAAATGGCTACTTCTGAAAAATCAGAAAGCTGCATACAAATAGCTGCTTGTGAAAAGCCAGAAAGCCATGTAACCTCATCTACAGAAACTGCTACTGAAATATCAAAAGCTCCTAAAGACCTGCCTTCTGAACCAGGGAAGTCTGGAAACTATATGGAAATTATTGATAATTCAGAGACTGAAGAAAAACACCCACAGATATCTTGGAAAAGTTTAAAGAGACGAGAGACATTACAGAGCAGAAGACCAGAAGAGGAGTGCCCTGGTAAAAAAAATAAACTTGAATGTGAAATGAAATGTGATTCTGAATCAGAATGTAAAGTATCTAAGTCTCAAATTCAAGAATCTATTTTGCAACACAACCAGAAAGGCAGTTCTGAATTTGTACATACAAAGGCTGATGATAAGAGAGTGAGCCAAGGAGAAACATTTGTACAAACGGCTGTGGAAGGAAAGCTCAGAGAAATATTATCTAAGATGGGTCCAGGGACTTCTACTATTCTGAGTGGTGATTTGTCAATAAGCTTTGCTCCAAGAAAAGCAGTATCCAGTGGGAAGGTATCTGAAGTTTCTAATGTTTCTGTAACAAGATGTCAAACTGAAATTATGGAAACAAGTGTATCCAGCTCAGCTGTATCTGAAGATGTGCAGATTTGTAAATCTAAAGCCATGCACAAATTGTCAGCTGCCAGTAATCATCCCTGTCAGTTT